CTGTGCCCAGAACGTCTGGCCAACCCTCTTCAGACTGGCTCCCAAATCCCATGGATTCTTGGATGCCAATACCATTCCTGGGGCTCACAGCCCATCTTGCAACTTTCACATTCTGCCCAAGGGAGACCAACAAGGTGAAGGAGGAAAATTACTCTCTAAACTCAACCCCACAGCCCCTGCCCACTGTGCCCCCCTCCCCTGCCCAACCACTGCCACCAAGAACACTTGGCTATGAAAACTCCTTCCCTGCAGGATCTTCCTTCAGACACGCCCACTAAAACCAACATGTAAGAGCCCAGCCTGGAAGCCCTGGCTTCGACTGCACAAACAGCACACAAACCAACCGTAATAACTTTGGCTGCTTAAGAAAATCAGTTCTCTAATCCCTTCTGAGCCTCTCTCTGTGGGATGCTCCTATTCTGCAGCTCTTCTGATGTTAGGAATGTGGAACCCTCATGAAAGCTAGACTGAGCAAATCAGCTTCGTTTTTCTCAACAAGAGGAGGCATCTCAGGTCAAGGCCAAGGTGCATTTCTGGCCCATCTCACTGACGCAGGGCTCCTCAGCCACTTGAGGGGCTCCTGACATCCTGTTCTGCTCACTCCTCCCAGAGAACAACCTCTGAAGCTCTCTTCCCTTCCACGGGGTCTGACTCCAACTCTACCTCTAAATCAATACACAGGAGGGCTGGTGGATTCAGGGAGAGGTCTTGTTTCCTGGCCTGAGCCTTTTTGACTTCCTGAGTGGCAAACTCAGGTGTTTGTCTGGTGGTCTTTGACGCACCCATCCCCCTGCGCATGCTGAGGCTCTAACCACAGACCTCTTTGCAGAGCTGGAGGATCACAGCTTTTGGTCCCGAGGATGTGGGGGCTCCAGGAGGGTCGAGCCTCCACCTCTAGATGTGTGGGCTCCATTCTCTTTTCTTGGCACTCTGTTGCAAGGGAGCTTGGAATAGAGAGGTGACATGAAGTGACTCGAGAGTCCCTTGGATAACAAGGAGATCAAACCTGTCAATCCTAAAGGAAATTGACCCTGAATGTTCATTGGAAGGATGGATGCTGAAGCTGAAGCTCCAGTACTTTGGCCACCTGATGCGAAAGCCGGCTCACTGGAAAAAACCTTGATGCTGGGAAAGATTACAGGCAAAATGAGAAAGGGGTGGCAGAGGATGAGATGGTTAAATACTATAGCATTACCGGCTCAAGGGACATGAATTTGAGCAAACTCCAGGAGACAGTGAAGGACAGAGGAGCCTGATATGCTGCAGTCCACGAGGTCGCAAAAAGTGGGACAATAGTAACTGAATGATAACAACAATGAAGTGATAAATGTCTCAAACCTGTGTGGTGGGTCCATGGGTGTTTTTTCCCTTCCTCTCTATATCTGTGTGTGTTGGATGAATGAAAATAAGTATCACACCCTCTAGGAGGTACATATGATAGATAGGTGTGCTCACAAAGCAGACTTAATATATCCACAATACAAAATGTCTTCAGGTAAGCCTGGGAGATCCAGGACAGCCTGGTGCCCAGAGCACCCCAGAGGTCACCAAAGTATCCCCATAATTGGTAGTGTCCATACTAAATCCCAACAAGAAGTGCAGACATGGCTGAATGGGTCTCTGGAAACTCCTGGCCCAGGACTGAAGTCTAGAGAAAGGCCCAGATGGTGCCAGGCATGAGTGGTTTCCAGGATGTTACTCTGGGACCGAGAGTGAAGTGAGAAATAGTGGTTGGGTGTGTGGGTCAGAGCCTACCAGGGGAGCCCCTTTAAAGCCCCATCCAGTGTTTACCAGGTGCCTTTAGGCATGGCCGCTTTGGGGGTCTGTAATAGAAGTGAGGAGAAAAATGGGAGCTAGGAGAATGTTCAAACAAGAAATGGGCTTATCCTGAGACTGCAGGAGCCACATTTGGCTCACTCAGAAGCCAGGCACCATTGGGACCTCCCCAGTGGTCCAGTGGTTAAAATCTCTTGCTTCCACTGAAGGCACCATCATCTCTGATTCCTTTTCCAACCTACATAGGTGTGGTGACACCAGCACCCAGGCTCACTTCCTCCAACTTCGCTGTCCTCTTCCACATCACATCCCCTCTCCTGTAGCTTGAGTTCCACAGCCCATTATGTCAGTAACACTAGCTCCTCTCTCTGTTATTCAAGACCTAAGTGAATCCTTGTTCATCTTCTTCACTTTTACCTGAAAACTGCTGGGACAAGTCACTTAAGTAGGAAAGAAGGCTCTGTCCATCTGAAATAAACCATCAGTACAATTCATAAATTCTACCACATATTCCCTTTCTGCTTTCAGACCTTTTTCACTCTCCTCATACCTCTGTCCCTGGGCTCCCCTCACTCTTTACTGCAAGCTGAGGTAAACCCATGGCCAAGCATTTTAGAACCCCTCCAGCCTTTTCAGAACCTCACAAGATGAATCACATCATCTTTCTACTGTATACTCAGCCTCTTTCTGTCAACCAGACTTTTCTCTCTGACACTGAAACATGCTTAAGTTTCTCCACCTTAAAAAACAAACCATGGACTTCCTTGGTGGCCCAGTGGTAAAGAATCCATCTGCCAATGCAGGGGACACAGGTTTGACCCCTGGTCCAGGAAGATACCACATACCATGGGGCAACTAAGCCCATGTTTCACAACTACTAAAGCCCATGCACCCTAGAGCCTGTGCTTTGCAAGAGAAGTCACCACAATGAGAACCCATACATCACAACTAGAGAGTAGCTCCAGCTCACCATGCCAAGAGAAAGCTACATGCAGCAATGAAGACCCAGTGCAACCATAAATAAATAATTTTCTCAATCTACACTCACCTTTAGCTTCCTTAGCCCCTAAGCCCCAGTGACATCTCCAGCTCTTACCTAAGCTCCAGAGTTCCACCTCAACTGCCTACTTGGTGCATCTTCTTTCACAAGATATTATGTTCACAAGGGTACTCATGACCTTCTTCCTCTCTTCCTCACTTCCAAATGTGGTCTTCAGGAGCTTCCCCACACTGAGTGTCACCACTCCAATGGCTCATCCCAGAGACCCAGGAGAGATTTAGGATTCCCTCCTCTTTCTGATCCTCCATGTCTAGTTCACCACTGACTTTATTCCCTGTTGGCACTCCCATAGTATGTGAATGACTTTCAAAGTGAGAGTCACACACTCACTAATGTAAGAAGGCAATCTATTGGAGTAAAGGAAGAAAATATTGGAACTTAAGACTTATCTCTTCCAAAACTTTTTATGTATGTTTCATAACATAAGCAGTATATTAGTAGTGTATTACATCTATATAAGTTGTAAGTAACATAAAGCTGCATGATATTCAAATGTTTTCAAGAACAAAAAAAATGTGCAGGTCCTGGTCTAAACAAGGATCACCTTTTGCAAAAAAAAAAAAAGGAAATAGACTCCTTACTGATCTCCACATCCATCCACCTAGCTTGGTAAAATATACATAAAATGCACCATTTTAATCATGTATAAGTGACCGCTTTGTGGCATTAAGTACATTCACACTGTTGTGCAATCACCACCTCATCCATCTTCAGAACTTTCTCATCTTCCCAACTCACAATTCTGTTCTATTTATTTATTGGCTGCACCATGCAGCATGTGGGATCTTGTTACCCAACTAGGGAATGAACCTGCACCCCCTGCATTGGAAGTATGGAGTCAACCCTAACTGGATCATTTAGGAAAGTCCCTCTCTGTACCCATTAATTAAAAACTCTGAATGCTCAAATGCTCCCCTCCTCCCAGTCCCTGACAACTACCATTCTACTTTCTCTCTCCATGAACTTGACTCTTCTAGGTACCTCATTTAAGTGGAATTATAGAATATTTGTCTTTTTGTGATTGGCTTCTTTCACTTAGCATACTGTCTTCAGTTTATCCTTTTGTAGCATGTGTCAGAACTCCCTTCCTTTTTAAGGCTAAATAATAGTCCATTGAATGGATATACCTTATTTTGTTCATCCAGTTCATGCATTGACGGACACTGGGTTGCTTCCACCTTTTTGACTTTTATGAATAATGTTGCTATTAACATGGGCATACAAATCTTATGTCCACTCTTGCCTCTCCTCTCTAGTCCTTCTCCACAATATAGCCCAAGTAATCCTTTTAAACCCACAAGTATGGTCAAATCACCCCTTGCTCTCAAGAAAAATTTTCTCATCACCTTAGTTTCTTGAACATAAAGCCACTGAAAACACCTGCCGTTACTTCTGCAATAATATCCTTTCCTCCCTGCTTCTTCAATCCTCCCCACCTTAGGACCTTAACTCCTGCTCTTGTCCTAAGGGAAGAATCCTCTGGTCACTCTCTCTCCTTCACTAGGTCAGGGGACTCTCTCCCTCCCTCATCAACTTTCCCCTCCTGGCACTTGTCTCAGTTGGCACTGTATCATCAAGCGCATTTACAACAATTATTATGTTTCCATCGCTGGAGAATAAATGTATGAGGGAGAGGGCACTATCCAGTTCCTATAGCGCCTTCCAAGACCAGGCAGCTAATACGCGCTCAATTTCTCAGTAATTAATTTTAACAATAAATCTGTGTGGACGCAGCTGACCCCTCCCGCCCAGAGGCCAAGTCACAGTACAGAAACAGGGTGGCTCTGGCCGCCGGTCCTCGAGCCCACCCTGGCTCTCCCACTTGGAGGTCGGGACGGAGGTGCAGGGCCGCCCGCGCCCCCCGCTCGCGCAGCGCGTTGCGAGGGGGGGTCGGCTCCCAGCCGCTGGGTCCTCAGCCACCCGCCGTCCGCCTAGGGCGGGGGCGGGGCCGGCCCGGAAACGTCACTTCCGTTGTACACAGCCGGTCCGGGCGGTGCGCAGGGGGCCGGGGCGCGTCGCAGGTGAGGAGCGGGCACGAGCAGGCGCTGCCTGGCGCTGGTGGGCGGGCAGGCTCACCCACCGGGGGGGCGGGAGGGCGGTGGGCCGCTGCCGGGGCTGGCGGCTGGATGAGCTCGCGGGGCGTCGCTCCCGCTCGGGGCCTCAGGGCTCAGGGCCGTCGGCTACCGCCCCTTGCCTGTCCGCTGTGGAGGACGCCGGGCTCAGGGGGAGCTGGCCGGGCGGACGGAAGCCCAGAGAGGCCTCGCGGCTTGTGCCTGGGACTGGGGGCGCGGCAGGGACCCCGCGGATATGGGACATGAAGGGCCCGGGGCGCTCCCTGGGGCGACCGGGGCCGGGGAGGTCGAGCTGGCCCCGGGACCCGCTCCCGGAAACCCCTCCGAGGAGTCCGCGGAGGGACCTCGGCCTATGGGTCTCGGGGTCCGCGAGGACTGCCTACGGATGCGGCCCTCACGCCGCCCCGCGGCTGCCGGTCGGCTGAGCTCACCTTCCCCGCCGGGGCCGGGCCGGACCGGGCCCCGAGGAACACGATTTTCCGGCCCCGCTGAGCCCGTTGGCGCAGTCGGGCCCGGGGAGGTTGCGCCGGGACCCCGAGAGGGCCGGGGCTGAGGATGAAGGACCCAAGCCCGAGGGGCGAGCGTAGGGTCAGGGGTGTGTCTTCCTGCTCTGCTCGGTGCGAGGAAAGAAGCTTGCCTGGTTGGCATGATAAGAATTTTGTTTATTCTCCTCACAAATTTTGCCAGATGGAATACTTAGCTTTGGGGGGAGAGGCCCTAATTTGAAAATAGCTTGTTTCCGCCCCTCACTCCCATTATAAAAGCAATTCATTCTCCTTTCTTCTCGCTCAAGACAAGTGTTGTGACAGTACTTTTTAAAGTGACAGTCATCCTGCAACCTACCACTCACTGATAGCCATTGCTAACATTTTGGTGATACCAGTAAATACATGTATTATCACTTTTATGGACTTCATAATATACCTTTGTATATCACAATTTAACCAAGTCCTACTAATGAACATGTAAGTTGTTTCCAATTCGTCATGGGATAGATGATTCTGCCACAGGGATTTGTCTGATGGTTCTTTTAGGATAAATTAACAAATGAGATCAAAGGTAACATTAATTTTAAAAATACATAGTATTATTTTTCTTTTGTTGACGCTTCCAAAATTATTCTCCATTCCAATATTTGTAACATACCTCCATCTTTGCTTCTCATTTCATGGTTTTATTTTGTTTTTCTTTTAGCTATTTAATTTACTTAAAATAGAGTTTTGGTTTAAGATATGATTTTCCAAATACCTTCCCAATTTTATTGAATAAGCTGTAATTGCCATTTTATCATGTTTTACACCAAAAGTTCTAAGTATGTGTTTGTAAAGGACTGCTTACAGATTTGATATTTAGATTTTGTGTATGCTTTTTCAAAATTCCATTCACAGTATCTTTTTAAAAAATTATTTTTCTTTACAAGTCCAGGGTGTATTTAATGTTTGATTTTTTTTTATTTTTATTTTTTGAGATAGAAAGTTTAGTTACTACTGTTTCATTTGCTTTCTTACTGACAAGATAACAAACTCCATATGAAGAGTTCAGGTTTGTTGTGGCAACTTTTCCGTCTGGCATTTGAGATTCTAATCTTCCTCTATTTTTGCACACGAATACGTAGGTTAGCATTGGAGACCAAGATAGAAAAGTTCTCAGATTCCCTTGGCAAGCCTAGATTTTTCTATCTAAAATTATCCCTGGATTTTTGGAAGACAGCATGTTTTAAGCATCCTCTTTAAAATTTTTTAAACGAGTTGCCCATGATTCAGCTGAAAATTTTGCTAAGTGTTTATTCTGTTGCTAATCTGAAGCCTAATACACCAGGAGCTTTTTGTCACACAAATCTAACAAATCTATAGGAAAACTACTGTTTCTGAGAGTTAGTGGACTGGGACATCACATGAGTTGAGTGTCCACTCTCTTCTTTTCCCTCCTGTGACATTCTGCTTAGTGGAAAATGATGACCTTCCAAGGTGGACAGAGGATGTTGGTTTGAATAAGGAATTGCTTTTTTGGCGTTACAGAAAAAGTGAGATCCCATTTTCTCTTAGTATAAGTTCACTGAAATCCTGGATGTGTCAGGGGTTGTGCTTCAGATGTCTTTATTCATGCTGAATCCATCCTCTGTCCCTTAATGGATAGACACAGTGGCTGCTGCTTTCTCATTTCCCTTGACCGTAAGTATTTGGCATGGTGAGCCACACTTTCTTGCTGTTGTGAACCTCTCCTTGGTTGGCCTTCTTGATGCTGTCATGGTCATTATCTTAACTTTGTGACTGCTTTCTCATTTATCTTTGCTTCTCTTTTGCCTACATCTGCCTGGGAGCATTTTGTATTTTTGTTGTTGTTCAGTCACTAAGTTGTGTCTGACTCTTTGTGACCCCATGGACCGTAGCACACCAGGCTTCTCTGTCCTTCACGGTCTCCCAGAGTTTGCTCAAATTCTTGTCCATTGAGTCAGTGATGCTATTTAATCATCTCATCCTCTGCTGCCCCCTTCTCCTTTTGCCTTCAGTCTCTCCCAGCATCCGGGTCTAGGCATTTTCTAAAGAGAAATGAAGTCACTCAGTTGTGTCCGACTCTTTGCGACCCCGTGGACTGGGGCCCACCAGGCTCCTCTGTCTGTGGAATTTTCCAGGCGAGAGTACTGGAGTGGGTTGCCATTTGCTTCTCCAGGGGATCTTCCCAACCCAGGGATCAACCCGGGGTCTCCCGCATTGCGGGCAGACGCTTTACCATCTGAGCCACCAGGGAAGGTCCCAGGCATTTTCAAAGGCCTAGCTTCATATCTACCTCTGTCCCTCAGTGCATGCTCCTTCTCACTCATCCAGTATGTGACTTTTAGGTAGAGACCCATTTCATCCCTTCACCCTGTTTCCACTTGGTGACCCAAACTCAGACTTTGCTGCAAGTAATTTCTTTCTCTCACTCTAACTGACCCCTGGACATGTTCCCAAGGCCATACTTTCTCCAGGTGAGGGAGCCCTTCACTGCTTCCCAAGGTGGCTTGTCCTTCATGACTCTCAAGTTCTTACCAGTTGACTTATTAATTACAACTCTTCTCCTTTCTTGATTTGGGTTGTATTTGCCATTTGCTTTCTATTCCTTACAGTTTGATTTAAACTTGTACCTTTGCTCTAAGGGACTTCAGACATAATATGATCCTACTGTGAATTAGGAAAGCGAGACCCAGTGAATTTAGTCATGAATTTAGTTAGCGCGTGTTTATGGAGTATTTACAGTATAGGCCAGTTACTGTACTGGAAGATTGGAATACAGAGCTGGAAGGCATGGCCTAGGTAAGAAAACCAGATAAGCCATTTCATCAAGTATCGCAAGTGCCTCGAAGCAGGAGACAGGTTTTAGAGATCTTGTCTGTCCTGTTCACTGCTGCTATCTCCACAGCCTGAAGCACAGTGTTTCCGGAGTGATTTAAGTATTTGTTGATTGAATCAATGATCATCTGAGAATGAAATCAGAATGAATGTTACATCAATTATCTATAGAAAAAAATACAAGGCAAGAGAAGTTTGTAAATTTAGGTTTGAGAATTTCAGGGAAAACTTTCAAGTTCAACCGGAATGACCCAGCTATAACCCTCAGAAGGCATGATTGGAATGTGTTTGTGGCCAAATGCTTAAACTTAATGTTGTATCCTCAGAAGAAAGACTGGGACTCTGGAAGGAGAGGTTTCGGAAGATATCTTTGGAAATTGGGTTGGTGGGTCCAAGAGAAGAATTGACTTATGTGTTTGTAGTACCGTCTGGGGACCATAGTTGGAGGAGCTGTGTGCAGTCCTCCACTGGGCCTTTGCACTTCCAAACAGATGTGTGCATCTCTGTTGATACCTCTAGTGGGCTCTAGTGGGAAGAATCTTTCCTTTGCTGCCATGATCCGAAAACCCTTTGATTAGAACATGACTTTACATGGAGATTTCCTGTTGAGAGTACTCTTCATCCAGACTGGTCAGATTCTGGTCTGTTTCCCCAAACGAGAAATGGGGTAATAATAACACCTTCCTCTTTGGCCCCCTGGTAAGTGCTCAGTATTAGCTCTTATCAGTATTTATAGAGTTTGTAACTGACCTTCAGAGCTTCCCTGATAGCTCAGTTAGTAAAAATCTGCCTGCAATGCAGGAGACCCTGGTTCAGTTCCTGGGTCGGGAAGATCTGCTGTAGACGGGATAGGCTACCTACTCCAGTATTCTTGGACTTCCCTTGTGGCTCAGCTGGTAAAGAATCTGCCTGCAATGTGGAAGACCTGGGTTCAATCCCTGGATTGGAAAGATCCCTGAAGAAGGGAAAGGCTACCCATTCCAGCATTCTGGCCTTGATCACCCTTGATATCTGCTATGCACTTAAAAGCCTTTTGTGGCTCCTGTTTCTTAATGAAGTCCAAGGTCACAAGATTTTCTGACTTCATAAAAACATCTTGGGTTAAAGTGTGAAAATATGTGTGTCTTAGTATTGAATCAAAACAGCATAGGTACAGAATGCATAAGTGCAAAGAAATCTCAGTGAAAAAGGCAAGATGCAAGACGATGTGTATATGTGCCCATTTGTGTAAAAAAAAGAGAGAGGGTACTCATGAAACAGATTTCTAAGAGCAGGAAGACAATTCTTGAATGATAGGAAAGAAACAACAACAACAAAAAGAAACAGTGATTGTCATTGGAATGAGGCTCCAGAAATTGAGGTTGGTAGACTGACCTAGCTTTTTCTTGCATACTCTTTTGTACAATATGATTTTTTTCAATGGTGTACTTATATTATCAATTAAAAATTAATAGGGGGACTTTCCTGGCAGTCCATTGGTTAAGATTTTGTGCTTCCACTGTAAGGCTCCCCAGGTGGCTTAGTGGTAGAGAACCCGACTGCCAGTGCAGGAGACACAAGAGATGTGGGTTTGATCCCTAGGTCGGAAATAATCCTTGGAGTAGGAAATGGCAACCTATTCCCAGTGTTCTTGCCTGAAAAATTCCATGGACAGAGGAGCCTGGCAGGAGTCCATGGGGCTGCAAAGAATTGGACACAGTTGAGTGACTGAGCATGCACGCACGCTTCCAGTGTAGGGGGCACAGGTTCTATCCTTGGTCCAAGAACTAAGATCCTACAAGCTGCATGGCATGGCCAAAAGAAAGAAAAATAGGAATTAAAAGCTAAATGTCTGTTGTACACAGCAGTCATTTAGAGAGGGAATGTAGCGTACAGGTTAAGGGCAAGAACTGTAGCCAGACTGCTTGACTTTATATCCTGCCTCTACTACTTAATTAGTCACTAACCCCTAAGCCTCTCTTTATCTCTATTTACCGTGTCTGAAAAGGGGGAAAGTAATAGTGCCTACCTCCTGGTGTTATAGTGAGGCTTAAAGGAGTTGTTATTTGTGAAGTCCTTAGAATAGTTCCTGACAGATGTGGGTTTCTGGTGGTGGTGGTGGTGTGGCCCTGTGTTGTGCACCAAAGTGACTGTGAAGATATGTCCAATCTGTCTCTCTGTGCTCACAGTTCACCTGCAAAGGCTTCATGGGAACTAAAGGGGCCAAAGATGGTTTCATCGAAAC